GAGGATGGTGATGATGATGATGATCACGGTGATGATGAATGAGGATGAGGAGGATTGTGGTGATGATGAATGAGGATGATGATGATGATGATGGTGATGAATGAGGATGATGGGGAAGGGGAGGGTGGTGATGAATGATGATGATGATGATGATGATGGTGGTGGTTATGAATGAGGAAGAGGAGGAGGATAGTGGTGATGAATGAGGATGAGGGGGAAGGGGATGGTGATGATGAATGAGGAAGAGGAGGAGGAAAGTGGTGATGAATGAGGAAGAGGAGGGGGATGGTGGTGATGAATGAGGAAGAGGAGGGGGATGGTGGTGATGAATGAGGATGAGGAGGAAGGTGATGGTGGTGATGAAGAATGAGGATGAGGAGAATGGTGGTGATCGTGAATGAGCATGATGATGATGATGATCATGATCATGATGATGGTGATGGATGAAGATGAGGATGGTGCTGATGAATGAGGAGGGGGATGGTGGTGATGATGATCATGGTGATGATGATGATCACGGTGATGATGAATGAGGATGAGGAGGATTGTGGTGATGATGAATGAGGAGGATGATGATGATGATGATGGTGATGAATGAGGATGATGGGGAAGGGGATGGTGGTGATGAATGAGGATGAAGAGGAGGGTGGTGATGAATGATGATGATGATGATGGTGGTGGTTATGAATGAGGAAGAGGAGGAGGATAGTGGTGATGAATGAGGATGAGGGGGAAGGGGATGGTGATGATGAATGAGGAAGAGGAGGAGGATAGTGGTGATGAATGAGGAAGAGCAGGAGAATGGTGGTGATGAATGAGGAAGAGGAGGGGGATGGTGGTGATGATTACTGATAAGGGATAAACAAAACTACTTAATTATTCCCGGACTTACATGTAGAATTCCCGATAAACGTTTGCCTATATTGTTATATTCAACGTTATATCCAAATCTGCTACATACATGGACCCGTGAACATCCGGCGTAGAATAGGTCTTCAGCAACCTATGCTTGTCATATAAGAGGCGATTAACGGGATCGGGTGGTCAGGCTCGCTGACTCAGTTAATGCATGTCATCGATCCCAATTGCTTGGATCGATGCTCATGATGTCAATCACTGGATTGTCCGGTCCAGACTCAATTATTTACAGACCACCATCATATAGCTGGAATATTGCTGAGCGGCATTTAACAACACACAAACAAACATACTTGGCTATATCTGTATAAAGAAAATATCAATATCAATATTTCGTGCATTTATTGACATGAGCAGCATATAGAACACGGACACATAATTATGATAATGGCAATGACTATAAATGAAACTTATAGTGAAACCTTTTCAATGCAGACCTCGTTGATCTGGAAATCCTGCCTCCAAGTTGATCCAGTTGGAAACATCTATGTATACTGAAGGCAACATGACTCCAAATCCTTGATTCTTTAATCCGGAATCTTTTTAATCCGGACGATTTAACCACCAACGGTACTGTTCGGATTAACGAGGTTTCATTGTATCCCGTCACGACAACCGAGCAACGTCATGTCAACGGGATAATATTTCATATGGCTATGTTGAAAAACGTTTAAAGTGTGAGTGAGTGAGTAAGTTCGGTTTGAACAGAAATTATCTCAAGGCGTGCCAGTCTCAAACCATGGCATAGGTGCTGACAAACATAAACATTTTAATGAAATAATGAACAAACTTTGCTGGAAGAATAGAGACAAAAGCTGCAACAACGAGGTATTGTGTAATATGCATCAATATGTGAGTGAGTGAGTGAGTTGGGTTGAACGCCGCTTTGAACAGTATTCCAGTTATATCACGGCGTGTCCAGTTGATGAAGGAGAAAAGCCCGAATATGCAGGCCTCAGACGTTACCAGTTCGGTGAAACCAAAGAGCATGGGTATGGTGCTAAGAAACCTGGAAACATAATCGGGACGAATCGGGGGTTTCCGGTGAACCCAAGGGACGCAACTTTGCACAGTGAAATGCGGTGCCTTAGACCAGTAACATGTATCAAAATAATGCATAATAAAATGGTAAACGTTTGCCATTCTAAATAATAAGTGTGACAGACAACATAATAATGTTGTTTTTTTATCAAGGAAACTTGTCATACACCATTAGTAGATAAACAGTGTGTGTTTTCATATTTGCGGGTGTTATTGATCATTTGATACTTGGTCACTTTACTTGAACATGACGGAGGGAGCACGGGTGGCCCAGTCGTCTAAGGCGCCGCGATTCGTTGTGCAGAGTTGCGTCCCTTGGGTTCGCCGGAAACCTATTATTGTGGGTTCGAATCCCGGTTCGCCCCGATTATGTTTCTGGGTTTGTCAGCACCATACCCGTGCTCGTGGGTTTCACCGAAGTGGTAAACGTCTGAGACCTGCATCACTTCGACCTTTCCTCCCACATTAAGCTGACACGCCGTGATAGAACTGGAATACTGTTAAAAGCGGCGTTAAACCAAACCCACTCACTCATTCACTTGAACCTGACGGCGATAATACAACAAAACCCTGCCCATTATCATAAATACACAACGTCAAGGCCAGCGAATAACCAGAGCCCGCTGTATAATTCCGACTTTATCGACCGCATGAAGTTATTGATTAGTTAATGATGGTATCAAGTGTTCGACGTTGTGAAACAAACAAACATGTCTGTATGGTAAATACATGTAAATACATGTACAAATATAAGATCGAACGCACAACCTAGTTTGCATAATATAATGTGAAAATTATATTAAACAGTGACGAAAGATCGTCTTTGCTGATAGGAAGCAGCTGTTGCGAAAATACCGAATAATTTAAATGTATGCATTACGCGTGAGTTCCTGAGAAATGGAAATATGAATTCAAATAAACTATCTGCCTTTATATTGAATTTTTATTTTTATTTTGCACATAACATCAAGTTTATGGGTTCTTGTTACGAACAGCCATATGTAGTTCGTTTAATAGATTTGTAAATTTCTTTACTGCTACCCACAGTGTCAAATGATATCTTTAAAATGCTTAGTTTTACGGATAAGCTCTCCTACCCAATACAATATTGGTTGGTTGGTTTGTTGTTTAACGCAGCAATCAGCAATATTCCAGCTACATGTACATGACGGCGGTCTGTAAATAATCGAGTTTGGACCATACAATCCAGTGATTAATATCATGAGCATCGATCCACGCAATTGGGATCGATGACATGCATTAACTGAGTAAGCGAGCCTGACCACCCGATCCCGTTAGTCGCCTTTTACGACAAGCATACAGTCGCCTTTTACGACAAGCATGGGTGGCTGAAGACCTATTCTACCCCGGAATCTTCACGGGTCTGCCCAGTACAAAGACAAACAGTCAAGTCCGTGTAACAAATATCCCAACGTTTTTTTGTTTTGGAATGTAAAAGTTCCATTTCAAACTGTACGAAAACACTGTTCGCCTCCTATTTGAGACATAATTCTAACAACACAAGGGAAACATATAGAGTGAATGAGTGAGTGAGTGAGTGAGTGAGTTGAGTTAAACGCCGTATTGAGCAGTATTAGTGTGTCAGCTTAACACGGGAGGGTAGCCTGGTAGGCTAAAGCGTTCGCAAGTCACGCCGAATGTAACAGGCATAAACATCTCATATGCCAGCTCTTCCCCGGAAAGGTTCGGCCAAACGTTATCCCCGGGGAAGAACTGGCTAGGGGAATGTTGAGCCTGGTACACCGTTTCCATTCTCCACGTGGGCACCCATTTCTGATGTCCGCCGTGATATTGCTGGACTATGGCTAAAATCATACTCACTCACTCAGTAATGTGGAAGGAAATCCCGAAGTGCATCATGTATGGTAAATATTAAACAGGGGTATACGGCTACAATCAAACTAATGGCAAGCTGTCTCATAGCACACATAGCCTCATAGTATCAAAAGAATGACAAGAAGAATGCATCTAAGATGTTTCGATATGAATTGGTTGTTCGTCAAAATTCCTCCGCCTATTAAGCCATAAAAATGTAAAGCATATATTTTAAAGAATTCAACTTAATGTTTCACAACTTTTGCGTGGTTTGTACGCTATTCTGCTAACAATATATATTATATATAATGTATTAATGATGAACATTTACAGGAAGCTATCAAATGCTTCTTTCACGAATAGATTTGGAGAAGGCTTGAGCAGGAAAAAACTGAAAAATATTGATTTGTTTTACGAATATATTTGTACTAACATTTGGTACTGCTGACGTGTCCATGGGGAATCCCATTGTTAGGTACCTATACAACGTGTCCCTATAGGGTTCCCCCCCTGCCTGTATGACTCGATTACTGTCAATTTATCAATTTAATTTTAATTAATTTATCTAAAATCATTAGTCACTTGAACCATGTTAACAAACACTCCTCGGGATAAGTATTGGTTTCGAACTATCCTACTGTTCGTTACATTCCAATTTATAACTCCCGATGATATATTTTTTTGAGAACATATTTTTTAAAAACCCAAAAGATCCCAGTTTATATACAATATATACAATGCCTGATGATCTAGTAACAGCGCAAACAGGATAGACTCAATAAAGCTGGTAAAATGATGAAGCTAACGACATCTGTACTAAAACTGAAGTTAAAATGCACAAGTCTGCTTCCACTATGAGAAAAATCAGCCTAGCAGTTTCAGAAAATTGGATTCACTATATAAATACCTCGTAAACTACACGACCCACACGGAACAGACAAGAGATTGTGGAGTACAATGCCTCTTTAAGAGTACTGCTACATCTAGATCTGAAATTTGCATGTTGCTTAATCAGTACCAGACATGACCCGTTAAGGTCCCGGGTAGAATAGGTCTTCGGCAACCCATGCTTGCCGTAAAAGGCGACTAACGGATCGGGTGGTCAAGCTCGCTGACTTGGTTGATGCATGTAATCGTATCCCCATTGCGCGGATCGATGCTCATGATGTCAATCACTGGATTGTCTGTTGCAGACTCGATTATTTACGGACCGCCGTCATATAGCTGGAAATTGCTGAGTGCGGCGTTAAACAACAAACAAACAAACAAACAAACAAACGGTACCAGACACGCAGTGATTGACGAGGAACAAGCCACGCCTTCGGGGTAAAACGACATGATGTTAACCAAGTCAGTGTGACTAAGCACCAGACCCAAATAGACGGTGAGGGCACGCTGCAGGGGACTAATTCTAACCCGGAATCCCGACGGGGGATCCCTAAACTAAACATGAATTATACATCACGAAATACAAAATTATGGTGATCGATCATGATAATGGTTATTGTACTTCTTCCACCAACAAGCACTTTCATTTCATGTCTGAATTGGTCAACTGATATAGAAGCAATGAATCCCCCTGACGGTAGAGAAGGTTGCGTGGAGTACAGAGGTTTGTCTCCCACTATTCAAAGTAATCTGTGCCAGATGACAATCAAAATGGTCACATGTCATTACTGGTTGTTTGCCGAACAGGAGGCTTGTTCACAGACTCTCTGAACATTGCCATATTGAATCGCATTGACGGTCGAGACGACAACGTGATGTACTGGGTGCTTGCCGGCGCCATCTTCCGCTTCCGGCATAACACCAGGTCAATGAATTGTCTCCTGAACCTCCTGGCGCTGAACGAGTAAAGGTAGAAGTTCATGGCATGGGTTGAGTCACAGAGAACATAGGCAATTGTGTCGATGAGATAAATGACAGCCCCACTCATAGAGTTTGTGGGATAGTTCAGGTACGGAGACAATAACAGCATAACGCATCGTGGGAATGTGAGTATCACCAAGGCTATAGCTGACAAAACAAGCATCATTGTTATTTGACGCTGACGTTCATTGGACACAACGGCTCCATTTTTCACTGAGCCAGTTCTGTTTAAATATATATGCACCTTACTTGATTTCACTATCCCGGAGATGATCAAAGAATTAAAAATCAGAAGAAGAAGGCAGGGAAGAAGAGCATACACGGTGATGTTAATCCAGAACCATGCGTTCACAACGAAGTCCAGGTGATCTTCATGGGCGATGCAGAGGATATAGGTTTTCATGTTCACGTAATGCACTGTCCAGAACAAATGAAGGAAGAGACCCAGGAGAGGTATTGTTATTCCGATGACGACAACAAGCGATTTTTTGAAGGTCCAGATTTGACCGATTTTGAATGGGTACCATACTGCAACAAATCTTTCCACTGACATTGCAACGAGGAGCCAGTTTGCAAAGGTGATGAGAAAGTTGCCACAAAAAGCAAGAAACTTGCATCCAAACTGTCCAATCGGAACTCCGTTGTCTGAGAGCACGAACATCAGAAGCTTGTTAACGATGGCGAGGTTGTCGACGATGGCGAGAAGGGCGATGTAGACGGTGAGGGACCGTGCTGGAGACATTTTGATGATGGTGATGACGGTTGAACAGTTGCCTGGAAATCCTAAAGCAAGTATAACCCACAAGTAGTATGTTTCCATATGGAATGCTATAGAATCAACGGTTTTCCAGTCGCCGGAGTCCGCTTCAAGGGTAGCATTCACTTCCATACTCGGTGATGATTTGTTGGACCAGATCCCTGAAGCCATCTCTGGTATTGTGTCCATATGTGAGTCTCATACACAGATGTTGTAACACTGATATCCAATCCTTTGTCAGTAATGTTTAAGTATCGGAAAAGTTTATGCTTATATGTCTTCTGAATTATGAAGAGCCTCCAGAAATAGCACCTTTAATAGCAGCTTCTCTCCCTAGATGCTGTCTAAATGACAAAGTAGGATGCATTTTTAGCGCTAAGACACATGACAAATTCATCCATAAATGAAATCCAATAATGTATTCACGGTTCCAGCATTGGCTCTTTGTAAAAGAAATACTCCACGCGGAGAAGTTCGTTAGATTCTCACCCGACCGCGTGTATCAGTAAACCTCCCTTAGACATTCTCCTGCATGACTAAGTACGTCCCGTGGTTCGCTGTGCTGTGCGTATGGTTAACTATAGCCTTGAGAAGGATTGTCATATGTCATTTTCCGTTAATACTTCACATTTGGAGACTTTTGCTACAGTTGGGTAAGCCTCAACATCTGCAGGGAATTGGTTGGTGCCATGATAAATCATACATTGCTCTCTGGTCTAGCTGTCTCGTGGCAATCCCTCCGGAATTGAAAGGTCTTTCGTGTATGTGTGTCTTTAGCAGGGTGTCTCTTGACGCCTGGGTAGACACATGGAAAAAAAGGCGTCCCGGGTATTTGGTGTGCATTAAACAGTGGACACGTTAGGCAAAGAAAGTTATTTTGATGAACATAAAGGTTGTTTCTTTCGGAGGATGTGGTGTTTATGGAAAGCGGATATTAGTGCGTGAGAAATTATGGCAGATCTAACTTGTTGTCTCCGAGGAAATCTCGACATGTCAAACATTTATGAGTGGCTCAAAGCAATATAAGCCACTCCGTCAATGTGTCATTCGGCGCCTGCCGTTCGCTTGCATGATGAAATAGGCCACTTTGCACAAACCCGTGAAGATATTTCTTCTATTGGTAAACTTCTGTTACTCGCGATGTAACTTGAGCAGCTCTTGGTAACACACGTCTCGATTCAAACTCGTGCTTGTCGTGAAATACTGCATAAATACATATATGAATTATCGGTTCTTTAAAACAGTCTTATCACCTCCTCAGCATAATTCCGCAAGCTCGTAATTATTCAATACAGCTTGTGTTGATGTGTCACATTCACTGAGATAGTTTTTTACATAAAATGAATCTGATTATAACATCAATTTGCTTTCAATTTTACCTTGAAGTTCATCCTCTCTTGGTGCTAATTAAGTCCACTTTGTGTTTCCGTATATTTTGCCACAGATATTCCATCAATTATATTCGAAAAGCCACGTTGAAATAGGGAAGTCACATTCCCAAAGGCTGCTGGTACACATCTAAAGGTGAAATACATAGACCAGAGCCTGTAGATGGATATCTCTGGTCGACATGCACATCACCTGTTAAACGGAAAAGCAGAAATCCCTTGATGTTCGCACCGATATCAGTGGCTTCGTTGATGATTAAACCACTTACACTATAATTGGATCAGCGGTTATTCCGGGCGTTAAAGAGGATCGTTTCTTTCACGTCATTTGTCGTTCTCTTGCAACGGATCCTTTCTTCGGTTAGGCAACACAAGTCATCAAGTCACAATCCTATCCATCAAGCAAACCCGGAAACACGTTGATCTTGTTTAAGCAGGTTAGATGTGTGTTTGTGGTACTTCTTGCCTTAGGTCAAGCATGGAATGGTTCAAGCGTGGGTTAGTCGCTCTGAAGCTAGAAGTAAAGTAAACTGTAATAGAAACCGGGTCACTCGACGCCTCATAAACACCCAGGGAGCACTGGTACGGGATTGTTTATCGCCGGTTTAAATAGAAAACGGAGGCAAACAGTTAATTGGCCGTCACGTGGCTGAGATAATACAATCAATGATCAAACAAGTGATGTCAACCTTGACACTTGACAATCATAGCTGTTCGTTAAACATCTGAGTCGATTCCGTTTAATTGTGTACAAAGTCCTGTTATCGACATATTTTGTTTATTCGATATTTTCTTCCTACACACAACCTTTCACCCCCTCCCTCCTCCCCCAAACCCCTTCCCCGGAACTTTTGACAAGACGCTGTTTCCAGCTGTCTTGTTTGACTCGAGAGTATTTTCGGCTTCCAAAGTAATCAGTTCTTCAACAAGACAGGGCAATTAGACAGTCCTGAAATATCTCAAAAATGAATACTTAAACCTCCGGGTGATCCCATACTCAAGTATGTTATTCCAGGATATACCTATTTGGCTACATTAGTACACATATATGAATATTAATATGCATATCGTGTGTGTGTCTGCGTGTGTGTATGTGTGATGATTTTTAGTGCCTTTGTGTGTGCGTGTGTTTGTGTATGCGAGTGTGTGTGTTTGTTTGCGTTTGTGAGTGTGTGTTGGCGTGCGTTCAGACGGAGGTGTAATGAAAACAATTAATGTTTTCCCCTTGAATTACATCGTTGGTTGGTTTGTTGTTTTACGCCGCACTCAGCAATACCCCAGCTATTTGACGGCGGTCTGTATATAATCGAGTCTGGACCAGACAATACAGTGATTGATATCATGAGCATCCATCCACGCAATTGGGATCGATGATATGCTTCAACCAAGTCAGCGAGTCTGACCACCCTATCCCGTTAGTCGCCTCTTACGACAAGCATAGTCGCCTTTTAAGGCAAGAATGGGTAACTGAAGACCTATTCTACCCCGGAATCTTCACGGGTCTTACACCCGTTACTGTTATTACGATACTGTAAGGATGTTGATGAAAACAGTACTGTGAGACGCTAATCATCCTGGCATAATCGTTAATTAGGGGGTATAATATAACAAATAAAATTCTGACACTAGATATCAACCACTATGGCAACACACTCAAACACAATAATGTTCACACATTAATCACACACACAAGTGATCATTATCACGAACACACAAATGTACACACACAAATTACACATACAAATCACACATACAAATGAACATAATAACAGACTCACATACGTACGAACAAATGAGGAAATGTGTGATCGAGCAATTTAAAAAGGAGCACTTTCTAACCTCCATAAGAGAGTGAACGGTATACATTACACACACACAGACACACAGACACGCACTATATATACATACATATATATATATATATATATATATATATATATATATGTATGTATGTATGTATATATAGTGCGTTTGCTTTAACACTGCTTCGAACACTATTTCACTTACTCCATGGCATGTCAGCTGGATGTGAGAAGCAAGACCGAGGTGTCGCTGCTTCATGGGATCAGTTGTTAAGCACATGGGGAAACCCCACGGAGAATGGTCTAATGCTGACACATCAATACCCACATACAGGGCAGTACGGGATTCGAATCCAACTTCATCGGATCATAATGCACCTAAGGGACGCAACTTTGGTTGCAACCGTAAACAACTTCGGATTTCACGAAATTGAATACTACGAAGACTCGTTAAAAAGGAAATGAATGTGATTCTCAAGCAGAGTGAGTATGGTTTTACGCCGCGTTTATCAATATTCCAGCAATATCACGGCGGGGGCACCAGAAATGGGCTTCACACAAAATACCCATATCGGAAATCGAACCCGGCTGTTCGGCGTGACGAGCGAACGCTTTAACCACTAGGCTACCCGACCGCCCCTTTTCGAGCAGAGACATTTAACATTAAAGCGAAATGTGAAATTCGGATATCATAAATCGATAGGAGAGGTCCCATGGGGTTCTATATATGATTTCTAACTGTCTGGAAACGATTATTTTTCAAATTATAAAGTCAACCACAACACTGAAAAAATGTATCGAACATCGTTCAACATGCATCCCACACACGAGTAATCTTCGGCATATTACTTTCCACACGCAAAAATGTGACCATTAGCCAGGCGGAACAGGTTTCCTGCCTAATGATGTTATATGTACATCCCAACGCAAGTTTGTAAAACAAGCCTGGGCTGTGATGTCATTAGCAGGCTGCTGTGGCTGGTTTTGTAATTGCCAAGCGATGCAGTACAATACAAGGGAAAACGATTACGATTTACACAAGTTTGCTTGTCTCCGGCGAAATGCCCTCTCTGTTGTGTATTTGATCCTACACGTAAAACTCGTTTGCGTTATTTTGAAATATAAAAAATAAAATGAAAACATTTCACACAAAAAACGCCAAATATAAACTACAGAATATGAAGCTATATTATTATACTTTCATTTCTACCATCGACCCAATGTTTCGAAAATATATATATCTGTACACTTTGTTACAAAACTAACCCGAGTCACTCATTCATATGCTTTTTGTATTTGTTCAACGTGATACTCGGCAATATTCCATCTATATGACGGCAGCATGTAAATAATCGAGTCTGGACCAGAAAATCCAGTGAATGATATCATGAGCATTCCACGTAATTGGGATAAAATGACATGTATCAACCAAGTCAGCGAGCCTGACCACCCGATCCCATTAATCGCCTCTTACGACAAGCATAGTCGCATTGTACGGTAAGCATTGGTTGCTGAAGACCTATTCTACCCCGGTTGGTTGGTTGGTTGGTTTGTTGTTTAACGCCGCACTCAACAATAATCGAGTCTGGACCAGACAATCCAGTGACTGATATCATAGGCATCGATCTACGTAATTGGGATCGATGACATGCATCAACCAAGTCAGCGAGCCTGACCACCCGATCCCGTTAGTCGCCTTTTACGACAAGCATAGTCGCCTTTTACGGCAAGCATGGGTTGCTGAAGACCTATTCTACCCCGGATCTTTAAGGGTCTATTCTACCCCGGATCTTCACGGGTAGATTGGTATTGTGATCAATGATCCACGCCATTAGGGTACGATGCCACGCAATCAACCAAGTTATCGAACCTGACCACAGGTCCATCCCGTCGACTCCTACGAGCAACATCGACTGCGCATGCTATGGACCTACAATTCTAACCCGGAATTCCCTCGAGGCCACTCACACGAAGCTGAACGTGGGTGGAATCACAACCGACGCAAACACACTAATCAAACGATACACCCTTCGGCGCCAGAACAAATTACATGTAAGTTTTTTAGCATACTTTCATGTATAGTCTTATGAGGCAAGCCAGTCATATGAATTCCCTGAAACACGAACCAACCCCAAGGCTATTATCGATATGAATGTGATTACGTATTATCGATTTAAGTTTGTTTGTTGTTAAAAGCTGCACTCAGCAATATTCCAGCTATATGACGGCGGTCTTTAAATAATCGAGTCTGGACCAGACATATCCATGTGATCGAAATCATGAGCATCGATCCACGCAATTGGGATACGATGACATGCATCAACCAAGTCAGCGAGCCTGACCACCCGATCCCGTTAGTCACCTCTTACGACAAGCATAGTCGCCTTTTACGGAAAGCATGGGTTGCTGAATACCTACCCCGGATCTTCACGGGTCATAACACTTGATATTTCACTGCAATGAACATGGACCCGTAAAGATCCGGGTAGAGAATAGGTCTTCAGCAACACATGCTTTTCGTAACTGGAGGTTATGCTTGTCGTCAGAGGCGACTAACGGAATCGGGTGGTCAGGCTCGCTGACCTGGTTGATGCATGTCATCGTATCCCAATTGCGTTGATCGATGCTCATGATATCAATCACTG